CTTTTCAATTTGCTAAGATATTGCTCATGTAATAAATCAAACACAGTGGCACCCTGCTCACCTCTTTCCATTTTTGAAAACACTCCGTTATATACAATTGCTTCTATATATGACATGAATAACAAATCGGAAGCTCGGAATGTTCCCCTAGTGGCTTTCTCAGCCATTTTAATGGGCTTGGTGCCATTCTTTCTTTTGAACCATAATTTCAACGAGGTAGTGTGTGTCCTTAGTCTACTTTAATTTTCATATTTTTTTAAGTAGTAAAATACATCTTAGTTACTAAGCTTGATAAATTATAGTGGAATTCTATGGTATTAATGTAATTTGTGATTTTTTGGTTATTCAACTATATATATATAAAACCTGAAAAAATATATTTTGTTTCATATCCTCCACGTGCAAATTTTTTAAAGGCTTAGCATCCTATGTCAAGCAGCAACTGAGTACAAAGTTTGTAACTAGAAGAGATAATTGTTTGCTTTACTTCTTTAGTTACTGTTCTGTATTTGAAGAAAAATGAGTTTAAGAACTTATTTCTAAAGAGCAATAATCAATATATATATATAGGTAACTTTGTAAAGACTAAAGGTCACTTTTATGTTATTGGATAGAGTAACATGAGTGCATTTGGCACATCATTGTAACTTCCGTGTTGTTAGCCAGGCATGGCTGAAAGGTCAATATAATAAAAATAATATATATATAAATATATACACAAATGTATAATGTTATGAGATTAAGCTATTTAGTCTAAACATTTATGTTTTCATGTTATAATTTGTAGTCATTCTAGAAAGAGAAAGGCATAATTTGTATTTATTTTCTAATTTTTTTAACGTGGGTACGAGATTGGTCAAATCGACCAAACCCGTATTGAGATTAATTACTGAAAATAACAGATGAAATATAAAATTTTTTTCTTAAGAAACATATGAAATTAAAAAATTTTCTGGATAGTCAACATGCAAAAAGAAAAAAAAAGGCATGAGAAAAACATTGCTTTGCAAACTTTAAGACTTAATAATAAAAACTGATATTTTGCATATGAAAGCATTGTAATGTTTACTGATAATCTGCCATATTTCTTTAACATTCACTTAATAATTTAAAAGTTACAGCATGAAAACTATAACAAGCACAAAATGTGGAACTAAACATTAGGTATGTTTGGTGTCATGGTATCCAACTGAGGGCTGGCATTGCCTCACAGGGAATGCATTAAGTGGAAGGTAAAGAAAGTGTTTAATCCATACATTCCATACACTGTGTTTACTGTTGAGATTGAGTTTTCTGCCAAACTGCTTCAGCAGTTAATCTGTATAATTCACCAGGCTGTCTTTGCACTTTTTTACAAAAACAACAAAAAAAGAAGAAATAGCATCGGACGTAGTCCTGCCCTTACATCTGGCTCACTCTTGCTGTCTTTAGTCATGATAATCTGTTGCAATGTCTTTCAGTAGGGATCCAGTTCCAGGTAATTCTGCCTAAATTTCTCCCCTATGCTAATTCCTCTCAGAGTCACTACAGGACCCCACATTACAATATGTACCAAGGAAATTTTGGTGGATATGTCCAGTCAGGTAGGACTTTGATCTCCCTCGGGACACAGGTGAGGACTCTTCCTCCCTCCACCTGTTGTTATGGTATCTATCTTGTAAGTATTTGACCAAGATGGAATGGCCTAACTTCTAATGTTCCAACTACCTTGGCAACAAGTAACCACCAACACTGGATTTTCCTGATATACTTTGCTGTCACAGTGATTAAACAGTGCAAATCAATTGGACAAAAGAGTATTCCTTGCTTAAGAAGGATACAGTCTCTGACTGGTTGCTGCTCCACTTGGGGACCCCTGGTCTTGTGGAAGTCACATGCTTTCCCTTTCTGTTGGTATTTCAGAAAGGGTCTTATTTTTATTATTCTTCAGCTTTGGCCCTTCCACTATTTTCGGTGTGGGATTTTAACTCTCTTACACAGAAGAAATCAGTGTTTCTGAAGTTAACATTGCACCACCTCTCCTCTCCACTTCTGGTGTTTACTGTTTGTTTCATCAAGAATGAGCCTATGACCATGTACTAGTGCTCACAAGATTGTGTTACCCTCCTATTGGTGGAGGACCAGAGCATTATGTCAATTACATCAAAAGCTCTCACAATACATGTTGACAAAGCTTGTGGCATGCACAGAAAATTCCTCACCAGTTGCTCGAAAGGTAATAACCCTTAGTGGAACAGAGAGGTAAATGTCTGTTTGATATACATTTTCAGGTGAGGAAAATATTAACATTGTATCAATTGATACAGAAAAGCATGAGCTTTGATTAGAAAGGAAGTTGTGGACAGCATGGTTTATGAAGTGCAGTACAAGTAAATGTGACTGTGTGTGCATGTAGTTTAAAAGGAACTGTGGTGCAGTGTGAAAATTAGTTTGCTTTAGAAAATGGAGAGTTCGATACAGTTACTGGTAACAAGTCAACTTCAAGACAAAGTTTTGAAATACTTCTCAACTACTTAGAGGCCAGAAATGTTTCTCTAGTTTCTGATTCTGGTATTTTTGATCATGATATTTTTGTCTTACATTATGTTCATTTGAAAACTACAGAATTGTTTTTCTGTGTTTATTTGAAGGCTTCAGGAATATTCTTCTATGACAAGATTTTGAGTAAGTATATTTAGGTTTAGAAAGTCCACTGTTAAGCTAGGTCTGTGATGGAAAGCTGTTTGAATTAGAAAATACCTTTTTCTTTACTTGAATATATTTTAATTTGTGTTGTTTTAAACTACACACACACACACACAAATACAATAATTTCGTATTGCTTGAAACCAAACTGTAATTATTATGTATAAGTTGACTTCAATCAAAAATATTGTTGGTAAAATATCATGCTATGCCTCATAACAAAGGTAACAGTGCTGGTAATTTGAAAGGTGAAGTCATTCTTTGTCAGTAAATCTTTTCAGTCATACTGTGTTTATATGAATCAATGGTATGAAGTTAACTGTTTCAGTTACAAAGTTAAAGTATCAAAAGAAATATACTGATGAATATAAAACAAGTTAAAATTCATTAGATGTATTCAGTTGAAGTTCCTGATCAATAGTAATAAAAAGTATAAGATAAAAAAGATACTTTTTCTCAAAACATTGTTCACAACAAAATTTCACAGCCTAAAAAACTGTACAAATACTGAGTCAAATATGAATATTTTAATGCAGGAATTAGACATTATTTAGAAACTTTCTATGAAGTTTCATGCAGTTTAACCCTGTTGCCATTGGTACCCTTTACTGCAAATGGCACAAGGTTTTAGTGTCTTACATTCAAGTTTTTATTAAACAACTTTTTGTTTATATTATACCAATTAGAATAGTAAAAAAGTAAGGGTTAACTCTCTTCTAAACCCAAGAAAAGAAAAATAAGATTAGGTTAGTACTTGATTTCTTGTTTTTCATATTTATTCTTTATTTATCATTATAAAAGTTACTAGAATCTAAAAATACAGATATTTTTAAGTTATTTAAGACTAGATTATGTAAAATAAGTAATAATAATAATAATACAATTAAAATGGTTCACAAACAAGGCATGCACGCGAGCAGCTCATGGATAATGTAATTCAATAGCGTAACGTGAGCTGTAGGTTCCCCGAGTGATTTGCAACTTATAATGGCATGGATAGTAGTTAGACACAGTTCAAAGGGCAATAAAACAATAAAATTGAATTATAAATAGATGTATGATGTTACGAACTTAGAGCTACTTAGGTTAAATGAATGTAGTTTCATGTTACAATTTGAAGTCATTTTAGAAAGAAAAAAGGTTGATTTGGGTTTATTTCGATTATAAAGTTTTAGTGAAAATAAACATTTGAAATGCATATAGGATATTTTAAGGATTAAACAAAGGAAATTAGAGATTTTTGAGATGAAGAAGAGTATTTTTAATATTAACATTAAAATTACTTTGCACACGGACTATTCAAAACAAATACTCAATATATTCATAGACAAGTCTTTATTTTATTTTATTAAAAATACTTCACTAATAAATATGAGTTTTTGAAAGTGAAAGACTTGTAATATTAACTGAAAGAATGCCAAATTTCGTAAAGATATTCCCACTATATTGAAAGTTATAAGTATTGAATATATACAGAATTTAAATTAGTACAAAAAGGTCATGTGGTTGGTCAAATTGACTGAGCCTGTATTGAAAGTATTAAATATTTTAACTCTAGAAGACTAGTGGCTACTGTTAGCACCCTTGTGGTCATGTTAGGGTTAAATATTTGCATTTGTTTTGTAAAAATAGATAAATGTTGCTTAAAGTTGATTATATGTTTAATTAGGGGTATACATATCATGGTTGCCACCCCAGGTCGTCTTATGGACATGCTGGATAAGAAAATGGTCAATCTTGATATCTGCCGATATCTCTGTCTTGATGAAGCTGACAGGATGATTGACATGGGCTTTGAGGAAGATGTTCGAACGATCTTCTCTTACTTCAAGGTAGACCAGGAAAATAAATGCAATTCATAGTGTTTAGGTTCAATGAAAGTTTTTTCTTTAATTATTAGTAATGTGTAGTTAAAATTTACACCAATAATTAAATATATAGGATAATTTGCAATTATTTATCTGGGCAAAGAGACATGCTTATTGAATTTTTATTTATTTAATTTAGTTGTGCTCAGTTCAGATAATAAAAAACTATCTGATTTATATTTCATTAAAAAATTGCAATTATGAAAATGTCAAAAGTAAATGCATTACCAGCAAAAGGCTAAAAAATCTTCTTTTTTTTATAGAATTTTTAGTTCTCATAATTTTATTTTAGTATTTTCTTCATCTTTCCAATTACCACTCCTCCTCTGCAGTTATAAATTCTCAGAATTTCAAAATGTATGAAGTGAGTAATTTGGTTAATATAATATTTTTCTTAGGGACAGAGACAAACTCTTCTTTTCTCAGCTACTATGCCTAAGAAGATTCAGAACTTTGCTCGTAGTGCCCTTGTGAAACCTGTTACAGTTAATGTTGGTCGAGCAGGAGCAGCAAGTCTTGATGTTATTCAAGAAGTAGAGTACGTGAAGCAAGAAGCCAAGATAGTTCACTTATTGGATACACTACAGAAAACTGCTCCTCCAGTAGGTTGACAGTGAGAGTAATAAATCAGAGATTTCATACAGATACTATCAATTTTGATATGATATCTTACCTCTCTCACAAACAGGTTTTCTCATCTTATACTGTCCTCTATATGAGAAATTGTTGCTTGCCACTAGCCTTGATACTCTGACCTATCCTCATATGTATTCATGCGAGATATCTGCATGCTATCAAGCAAATGATCATGCAGCAATCCTCCATCAATAGAAGTGCGAAACATCTATTGTCATTAGTGCCCTCCCTTCTGTGCAACCCAAAATCACTATTAGGTTTTCAGACTTACAGTTTGAACATATTTTCACTCGTGTTTTCAGACTGATTTTTTCACTTATGTGCTCGAGTTTACACTTGTTTATTTTTGGCCTTTTATTTTTCAAATTTTTACTATTTTGAGAATCTTTTTGGAGATAAAATTATCTTTTTCCCAGTCAACTTCACTTGTCATGCATTTGAAATTTCATGTGGCATCTACCTCAACTTCTGTAACTATTACAGCTGATTTGCCTACCACTTCAGTGGTGTCTGAGCAAGCTTTATCATCTCAAGAAGTAATTGCTTTAGTTCTTAGGGAGTTGGCTACCTTTATGGAGGCTTCTGAGTCACTTAATGATTGTCTTCTCTTACTATATGAAGGTTTGCCAGCACATGATGATGAGGATTTGGACAGTCTGTCTTCTCCTATTGCCTATGCTTCACAGTTGTAGACTTAATCAATCAGATATATAGTGTTTTAGCCTTATCTCCCACTTCCTATGATTCTACTACCTACCCTTCTCAGTGATGAGCCGTTGGGTCAGTATTTAGTTTTTCCTACCCTCTCCAGATATTGGAGTTCATGCAAGTCGTTTTGGGGACCAGTTGCATTTGGGTGTCAGTATATCTTTTCTCCTGCATACTCTGGATGATCATGTTCAGGCTTATCTTCCTTCTGTATTTCCCTACTTAGAATCGCAAACTTTTGGAGTCACTTGTCCCTTTGTGGCGCTTGGATCCCAATACTTAGGTTTCCTTTTCTCAGCCCCAGTTTTATTGTATTTGTCTCTCCCTCCCATTCCTGTGTATCGCCCTCCTCCTTCTCTCCCTTGCTGGTTTCAGCCTCTTGTATTCGTAAGGTTAGCTGTTGGCCCTTGGATCACCATATTTGGGGCAAACAGTGGACTCTGTTCTGCATTGTGGGTTTGGGTCCTGTAGAGGCCAGGCTCCTCAGCTTTGCCCACATATGGAGGTCCTTTGCCACAGACCTTTGGGTTTTGAGAGTGGTCTCAGAGGTTCTAGTCTTTTCCATTATCCTCTAGGCCCAGCATGGCCAGGTGGTTAGGGTGCTTGACTTGCAATCAAACATGCTCACCCATTCATCCATGGGGGAATTATAAGTGGTGGTCAATCCCACTATTTGTTGGTAAAAGAGAAGTCCAAGAGTTGGCAGTGGGAGATGATGACTAGCTGCCTTCCCTCTAATCTTTCATTGCTAAATTATAGACAGCTAGTGCAAATATCTCTCATGTAGCTTTGCACAAAATTCAAACCATTCTCCTCTTCCTTGTCTCTTAATCCTATTTCCTGCCAGCATTTTAAGGAGGTGGTTCAGTAAGGGAGCCATTGTTTGGGGAGATCCTTATTTCTTGGGATTTTATTCCTCTCTGTTTGTCATCCCCAAACAGACAAGGGACTGTTGTCTTATCAGCAGTCTGTTGGCTCTGTACCATTCTTAGTCTTCCCATGTTTCACCATGGAGTCATACTTAACTCTTTGTTGGGTTTTCACTTCTGGTTTGTGGATGACCAAGGCAATGTGTCAGATGCATACATACACATTCCAATCTCCCTTGCATCCAGACATTATCTTAATTTTGTCCATTGGTGGGGAGGGGGGGTTTCAGTTTTGTGGTATTCGGACTCACCTTACATGTTTTGTTGGGTAGTCTGGGTATTTATCCATCTTCTTCAATCCTAGGGTCTTCGTTTTCACCATTACACGGACAACTGGCTACTTCTAGCTTCCTCACAGGACAACTCTTCCCTTCATACTTGGTTTCTTCTATGAGAAGCTGCTTGGGTGGGTTGGTGCAGGTGGAGAAGTCTTTCCTCTCCCCATGCATTACCTAGTTCATTTTAGGGTGTTGTTTGCAGCCTCTCTTTCTCCCATGACGCTAGAGGTTTTCCCTCTTTTAGGGACATGGGCTTCTCTGGAAGTCCTCATCCCTTTTAATCCTGCCCAGGGGATTTTGTTGAACCAGTGGACCCTCATTCAGAATTTCTTGGATGCTTCTCTCATCCTTCCTCCTTCCTTACAGACCAATTTTGCCTGGTGATTGGATCACGACAATGCCACTATTGGTGTTCCTCTTCCTCATCTACAACATCACCTCCTTACAGATGCTTCTCATTCAGGTTGGAATGTCTATCTGGATGCTCGGGCAGTTTCAGGGCAGTGGACTTTTTACAACTCCTCTCACCATATTAATCTTTTTCAGATCCTTGTCATTTGTTGGGCTTTTGGTCACTTCTTTCTGGCATTTCAGGCCTGGTTGGTGAGGGTGCATTCCAACAGGTTGACTGTGGTCTCATACACCTCCAGACATGGGGGCATTCAGTCAAGATACTTCTATTTTTGGACTCAGGACCTCTATTTTGGGCACACTGAATCTTGTCATGGATCGTTTATCATGTCCTGACAGGATTTTCCCTACATAGTGGTCACTGGACCCACTGGTGTTTGGGAGCTCTGTGCCCATTAGGGTGTTGCAGATCTGGAAGCCTTTGCTACTTATCTCAAATCTCAGTTTCTCTGGTTATGATCTCCTATTCCACATCCTTTGGTTGGAGCAGTGGATGCTTTCAGTCAGGATTGGACAGGTCTATACCTGTATGCCTACACTCCCATTTTCAGCTTCTCTAGTCCTTTCCATCATCCAACCACTCTTTGTGGGGTTCTTTTGGTAGCTTCATTTTAGCTGGCTTGGATGTGGCTTCACTGCCTCTTTCCCCCATCTTCATCTATCCACTTTCATTTTCTGAACCTCTGGCAGACGTGGTGATAGTTGTGTTCCTGGTATATCAAGCAGGCCATTTCCTGAACATGGTATCCTTAATTTCCCATTCCATTTATCCTTCCTCCATGGCTGTGTACCAACATAATTGGTTCTTATCTTCCATCCTATCCAACCTTTCTCCTCTGTTGCTGGTTAGTGTGTGGCTTTATCAGCCACATTTTGTTTTACACAATGTACTCATATCTTTGGTTCACCTGTCCCTTTTCTTTTATTCCCTCTGCAACACCCGTCCTCGCCTTGCCTCTCTCCCAGATTGGAATCTCAGTGTCATCCATCTTGCCCTTACCCTTTTGAACCTTTGCCAGCCTTTTCATTATTTCACCTGTCCTTGAAGTCCCTTTCCCTCCTC